TATGATGATTACATGTCCCGTGGGACTCCATTATGATAAAAATTGGGATTTTCTTCTTCTTCTTCTTCTTCATCATCAACAAGAAACTCATCTGGGTTCACGGGGGGGTCTTCAGGGTCAACTCGGGTTCCTCCTCGGGGTGCTCCTCGGGGTCCTCCTCGGGGTGCTCCTCGGCCTCCGTGGCTCGGCGTGCCACTACCTCCTCCGGATGACCTCGCAAAATCAAAGGACATAGAACCGAAATTCGGGGAGATCATAGGCATGCCACCATATCCGGAGTTGGGGAAAAATCCCATACCGCCCATGTGCTGAACTTGAGGAGTTTGCTCAGGGTGGAATACGTACGGGGGAGGAAAAGGCTGTTGCGGAGGCTGGAATCCGGCACGCATGTACCGTTCCATCTCCTCCAACCGGGCTTTTGTAGCAGCATCTGCTTTCCGCTGCTCCTCCCATCGCCGTTCGTGCTCCTCCAGTTCACGCTGCATTGTGGCAATACGGGGATCTTCTCCCCGCCTTGACCGAGAAGAGGAAGCGCCGGTGCTTCGATCATACAAAATCCGTTGCCCCTCGGCCCCTAAGCACGGAACCCGGCCCTTGTAAACCCCGGCCGCCTCAATGGCCGCCTCATCATCCGCATCGGAATCGAGGTCGTCCTCCTGGGTCAAGCCTCGTGCCGCACGCTGCCTGTCGAGGGATTCGTTGTACTTCGTCTGCATTTTCAAAAAGATTTTTTAAATGCTACATACTTAGATTTTAAATGTTACTAAATAACAAAATATGATGTTACATACTTCGAAGTCAGCGAGGCGGGGTGGCAAATCGGCTTCAGATTCCTCGCCGTGCTTCGTCCAGCAATGCTTGACGAGCCGGAGAACATCAACCTTCTTCTTCTCAGGACCAGCCTAAATGGTGTGAAAAAGACTTAAATTAAATTTTTTATAATAAAGGAATGTGATGTTGTAAGGTTTTTTGAATAGCACTTACAAGAGTTTCTTTATGGGCATTCTGAGATTTACGACCTCCGTGCCACTGCATCTCCAAGGCCTTCTCGGACATCCGGTTTTTCTTACCGGATTCACTTCTGGCCAAGAATTTCGGATCAGAAGACCAGTGGCGACAAAGGTTGGACCACACTTCATCCGAAACCCATCTAGGCTTTTTCCCACTTTTTCGCGCCCGTTTAAAAGTGGCGCGAAGCCAGGTCGAAATCCTAGCATTGTAGGCTTTAAGAATATCGGCACCGTGTGCGTGAGTCCAACGATAGCGAGCCTTTATTAAAACAAATTGGATTAATTAATCACCAGGTATATATTAGGCCAATACAATCAGGAAGGGAACATTCATTTATTTTTACCTTGAACAGGTTCCACCATAGTTCGCGAACCTTGGGGTCAACATCTGACAGTGTGGCCCAAGTGCCAAGAAAGTGTCCTCCGATGATGTTTTTGATGCCCGTGAACACTTGTTCGTCACTTAAAAAAATTAATAGTATTTATTTATATAAGATTTGGTTTGATTATTTAACATTATATAAAATTATTGAAAATAAGGTTTTTCATAACTACTTACAAAAGAACTTCTGCAGGCGTCACCCAAACAGCTCCATCATTGTTGCGCTCCGCTTCGGACATAGGCGCATGGTTAGGGCGGGGAGCCGAGGTCGATTGTTCGTTGCTCATCTAAAATATATTAATTTATTTTGTTTTTTGTTAGAACGCTTATAAAAGTTTGAGGTGTGCTTACTAAAGGTCCATTAAAGTTTGGGGTATATTTATTATTTTTTACTATAAAAATTTATACAAGTATTATTAATTGAAAATGTGTATAGCATATTAAACTATTTTTAGTTTAATATGAGGGGTCCATATTTTTTCATAATAAGTTCTTAAATAATTTGGTAATAAATTGCACTTGGAGGTAACATGTTAAACTTTTTGCAAAGTTTACATGAGAGGAGATCATTTTTTTATGTTTTAGATATATCATTTTAAAATAAATTTAAAACAGTTTGTTAAATCAAGTTTTACAAAAAACTATTTTTAAAAATAATCTGTTTAATAAAAGAGTTTTTAAAACAGTTGTTATTAAAACAGTTTTTACTAAAACAATTTTTATTAAAACAGTTTTTATAAAAACAGTTATTATAAATACAGTTTTTATAAAAACACTTTATATTAAAACAGTTTTTATAAATACTGTTTTTTAATAAATACAGTTATTATAAATACAGTTTTTATAAAAACAGTTATTATAAATACAGTTTTTATAAATACTGTTTTACAAAAATCTGTTTAATAAAACATTTTATATAAAACAGTTTGTATATATCAATTTTTGTAAAACCGGTTTTTTTAGATAAATTATAAAAACAGTTTATATTAAAACAGTTTGTATAAAAACAGTTTTTATTAAAAACAGTTTTTATAAAAACAGTTTTTATTAGATTAATTTTAAAAACAGTTTATATAAAAACAGTTTGTATAAAAACAGTTTTTATAAACACAGTTTTAATAAAAACAGTTTTCATAAAAACACTTTTTATTAAAACTGTTTAATAAAAACTTTTTATAAACACAGTTTTAATAAAAACAGTTTTTATAAACACAGTTTTAATAAAAACAGTTTTCATAAAAAAACTTTTTATAAAAACTGTTTTTTACAAAAATCTGTTTAATAAAACATTTTATATAAAACAGTTTATATATATCAATTTTTGTAAAAACAGTTTTTTTTAGATAAATTATAAAAACAGTTTATATTAAAACAGTTTGTATAAAAACAGTTTTTATAAACACAGTTTTTATAAAAACACTTTTTATTAAAACAGTTTTCACAAAAATTTGTGAAAGCTTGTGAAATTTTTATAAACACAGTTTTTATAAAAACACTTTTTATTAAAACAGCTTTTTAATAAAACAGTTTATAAAATTTGTTTATAAAAATTTGTAAAATTAGAATTAAACATGTTAAGTTTGTGAAAGCTTAACATGAGGGGGCAATTTTTTTTTTAATATTTCGGGTTAACCATTGAGAGGCATGCATATCACACACTAATCATATATATTAAATATTATTAATCATGCATAAGAACATATACTACACATATAATAATTTAAATCATTTAAACATAATTATCATGCATACAAAACATATAAATCATATCATGCATATGAAACATATAAACTAAAACAGTGTTTTGCCAAGTTTTTTTTGCATACGAAAAAATCTACATATATTAACATATAAATAATCTACATTTAACATATATTAATCATGCATACGAAACATATAAAATGAAATTAACATGCAAAACTACAAATCATGCATATAATAAATCATACATATAACTTTTGAAGATTACAAAATGATATGAAACTAAAATTCGTGCATCTTATCATGCATTTGAGTATACAATCATGCATTTTTGGAATTTTAATCAAATATTGGAATTTTAATCGAATAAGATGAACAAACACATAACCTTGACTGAAGAAGGGCCGACGGAAGAAGGTGGACGAAGGCGGCCGGAGGACGACGGCGGACGGCTAGGCGGCGGACGGCGGCGGACGGCTAGGCGGCGACGGCGGACAGCTAGGCGGCTGACGGCGGACGGCTAGGCGGCGGCGGCACTGTCTAAACTGGAAGAGAGGGAAGAGAGAAGGAAGAGGAAGTTAGGGTTTGGGAGTTGGGTGCGTAGGTTTTTAAAAAAAACGCTAAGTGTTCGTTTTATATAAGGGTTTAGTCACGGTCATAGTCACGGTCAGGACCGTGACTAAACCCTTCGTAAATGCCGAAGTCAGTCCGCCGGTCAGAGTCGCCATTAATCAGAATAGTCACGGTCAGAACCGTGACTATGACCGTGACTATTTTCAAATTTTGAAAATAGTCACGGTCATAGTCACGGTTCTGACCGTGACTATTATTGTCAGCGCCACTCTGACCGGCGGACTGACTTCGACATTTACGAAGGGTTTAGTCACGGTCCTGACCGTGACTAAGACCGTGACAACTTGAAATTTTTTAGTATAAATAATCTTTCTCCGGCCCAAGACTGAACTGTAAAAAAAAATGGCTAATAGAGGTCCAATTGACTGGGATTCGATGTGTAGAGATATGAAACGACTTAAGCTGATTACAGAGCTTATGGAGCCGAAAACCGTGGAAGCATACGAGAGAATCAAGGAGTTGATGTCTAGACCCCTTGAAAGTTTTGGCGATTATAAAGATGAAGAATCCGACTCGTTGGGCAAGTCAAAAGCAAGAAATTTGTGTCGGATGCTTCAACGTGCACAAGAAGTTTCAGAGTATATGGACCCGATCAACGAAGAAGCTCGAATGAAAATTCAGGAGTTGTGGGCTAGGCCTCTTGAAAGTTTCCGATTGAGGAATGAATAATGTTAGTTAGGCTAATGTAATAAATAAATCTATGTTAGTTGTTTAATAAATAATATGTGACAATTTCATTGTGTGTTTTGTATTTATCTTTGAAATTTGATAAATAAATATCTGTTAGTTGTTTATTAATATCTAAATTTATTATAATATTCAGATTAGTAAAAGTAGATTACTGTTTTTTTAATTTTCGAATTTTGTTAATTTTCGAATAGACTTAGAATTATTAAAATTAATTTTCGAATTTCGAATTATTAAAAATTATTAAAATAAATTTTCGAATTTAGAAAAATCAAAAATAATATTTGAATTTTCGAATTTGAAAATAAAAGAATATAATATAGAGTAATTTCATATTTTGTATTGGGTAAATTTTAATTTTCAAACTTTGAATTGTGAAAAATTTTATTTTGAATTTATAATATGGATATAAAAAACTTGTTGTGGTTGAATTAATATGGAGTAATTTTTTGTTCATAAATAATAATGATAAAGATAGAAAAAAATTCAAATATTGTTGGAGTAATATAATGATGAAGAAATCTGCACAAATATTAGAAGTCAATAAAATTGAAATTACAACAGCACAATTATTCGCTATCAGAATCGTCATTTTCTACATATACAGTATCTTCTTCTGTATCTGAACCGTCTATCCATTCACCTTCTTCCTGATATTGAGCATTTTGTTGTGCTACATACATTTCCTCAATTTCGCGCTCAGATGGAATGGTTGGGTCCGGAAGGTGCGTTTCTGGCATGACTTCAACACGTCCGCCATTTGGATCACTTAATTGGAGGTTATAGTTGACCGTCTCAACAATAGGCGGAGGTTGGAAAAATTGTTGCTGAAAAGCATCTAGATCAACGTCCTTGTGTTGAGTTTGTGATTTTATTTTGTTCGGACGGACAGGACATGCACACACCCAAGGATTCTGTGTCCGCCTTGTTGAAGGATATTCTGCATAATAAATCTGCGCTGCTTGTTGGGCGAGTATGAAAGGCTCATTTTTTGGGTACACACGAGAGAGGTTGACGTCAATCATATTATACTTCGGATTTTTGCGCACGCCACGTGTGGGGTCGACCCATGTGCAACGGAACAGAACGCATGTCAATTTTTTCGCACAAGAAGGCATCTCAAGTTCCAGAATCTCCTGCAGGACACCAAAAAAACTGGTTTCCGAGTTATCATAACCGATGGTCGGGACACATAACCCGCTGTTCGTTGTTGGTCGGCCCTCTCCGTAATCGGCTGTGTGATATGTGTAACCGTTTATCACATATTGCCGCCACACTTTGGCACTGGCACCTGGGCCCCACGCTAATGATACTAACAAAGGGTCGACAATCCCACGACTATTGATCTGTAAATATAAACATAATAATAACATTAGGTAAACATTAGGTAATATATATAATTAATGTGTGTGTATATATACCTGATACTTGTACCAATTTACAAAATCAGAGTCCACCAACGCATCTATTTCATTCTCAGGAAAGGCTGATAAAGAAGCTCGGAATTCACTGTGAAGTCAAAAATAAAAAAAAAAAACTATAAATTAACTACAAATTTAATTTATAAGTATTACAATTATAAATCATGCATAAGAACATATACTACACATATAATAATTTAAATCATTTAAACATAATTATCATGCATACAAAACATATAAATCATATCATGCATATGAAACATATAAACTAAAACAGTGTTTTGCCAAGTTTTTTTTGCATACGAAAAAATCTACATATATTAACATATAAATAATCTACATTTAACATATATTAATCATGCATACGAAACATATAAAATGAAATTAACATGCAAAACTACAAATCATGCATATAATAAATCATACATATAACTTTTGAAGATTACAAAATGATATGAAACTAAAATTCGTGCATCTTAGTCACGGTCATAGTCACGGTCAGGACCGTGACTAAACCCTTCGTAAATGCCGAAGTCAGTCCGCCGGTCAGAGTCGCCATTAATCAGAATAGTCACGGTCAGAACCGTGACTATGACCGTGACTATTTTCAAATTTTGAAAATAGTCACGGTCATAGTCACGGTTCTGACCGTGACTATTATTGTCAGCGCCACTCTGACCGGCGGACTGACTTCGACATTTACGAAGGGTTTAGTCACGGTCCTGACCGTGACTAAGACCGTGACAACTTGAAATTTTTTAGTATAAATAATCTTTCTCCGGCCCAAGACTGAACTGTAAAAAAAAATGGCTAATAGAGGTCCAATTGACTGGGATTCGATGTGTAGAGATATGAAACGACTTAAGCTGATTACAGAGCTTATGGAGCCGAAAACCGTGGAAGCATACGAGAGAATCAAGGAGTTGATGTCTAGACCCCTTGAAAGTTTTGGCGATTATAAAGATGAAGAATCCGACTCGTTGGGCAAGTCAAAAGCAAGAAATTTGTGTCGGATGCTTCAACGTGCACAAGAAGTTTCAGAGTATATGGACCCGATCAACGAAGAAGCTCGAATGAAAATTCAGGAGTTGTGGGCTAGGCCTCTTGAAAGTTTCCGATTGAGGAATGAATAATGTTAGTTAGGCTAATGTAATAAATAAATCTATGTTAGTTGTTTAATAAATAATATGTGACAATTTCATTGTGTGTTTTGTATTTATCTTTGAAATTTGATAAATAAATATCTGTTAGTTGTTTATTAATATCTAAATTTATTATAATATTCAGATTAGTAAAAGTAGATTACTGTTTTTTTAATTTTCGAATTTTGTTAATTTTCGAATAGACTTAGAATTATTAAAATTAATTTTCGAATTTCGAATTATTAAAAATTATTAAAATAAATTTTCGAATTTAGAAAAATCAAAAATAATATTTGAATTTTCGAATTTGAAAATAAAAGAATATAATATAGAGTAATTTCATATTTTGTATTGGGTAAATTTTAATTTTCAAACTTTGAATTGTGAAAAATTTTATTTTGAATTTATAATATGGATATAAAAAACTTGTTGTGGTTGAATTAATATGGAGTAATTTTTTGTTCATAAATAATAATGATAAAGATAGAAAAAAATTCAAATATTGTTGGAGTAATATAATGATGAAGAAATCTGCACAAATATTAGAAGTCAATAAAATTGAAATTACAACAGCACAATTATTCGCTATCAGAATCGTCATTTTCTACATATACAGTATCTTCTTCTGTATCTGAACCGTCTATCCATTCACCTTCTTCCTGATATTGAGCATTTTGTTGTGCTACATACATTTCCTCAATTTCGCGCTCAGATGGAATGGTTGGGTCCGGAAGGTGCGTTTCTGGCATGACTTCAACACGTCCGCCATTTGGATCACTTAATTGGAGGTTATAGTTGACCGTCTCAACAATAGGCGGAGGTTGGAAAAATTGTTGCTGAAAAGCATCTAGATCAACGTCCTTGTGTTGAGTTTGTGATTTTATTTTGTTCGGACGGACAGGACATGCACACACCCAAGGATTCTGTGTCCGCCTTGTTGAAGGATATTCTGCATAATAAATCTGCGCTGCTTGTTGGGCGAGTATGAAAGGCTCATTTTTTGGGTACACACGAGAGAGGTTGACGTCAATCATATTATACTTCGGATTTTTGCGCACGCCACGTGTGGGGTCGACCCATGTGCAACGGAACAGAACGCATGTCAATTTTTTCGCACAAGAAGGCATCTCAAGTTCCAGAATCTCCTGCAGGACACCAAAAAAACTGGTTTCCGAGTTATCATAACCGATGGTCGGGACACATAACCCGCTGTTCGTTGTTGGTCGGCCCTCTCCGTAATCGGCTGTGTGATATGTGTAACCGTTTATCACATATTGCCGCCACACTTTGGCACTGGCACCTGGGCCCCACGCTAATGATACTAACAAAGGGTCGACAATCCCACGACTATTGATCTGTAAATATAAACATAATAATAACATTAGGTAAACATTAGGTAATATATATAATTAATGTGTGTGTATATATACCTGATACTTGTACCAATTTACAAAATCAGAGTCCACCAACGCATCTATTTCATTCTCAGGAAAGGCTGATAAAGAAGCTCGGAATTCACTGTGAAGTCAAAAATAAAAAAAAAAAACTATAAATTAACTACAAATTTAATTTATAAGTATTACAATTATAAATCATGCATAAGAACATATACTACACATATAATAATTTAAATCATTTAAACATAATTATCATGCATACAAAACATATAAATCATATCATGCATATGAAACATATAAACTAAAACAGTGTTTTGCCAAGTTTTTTTTGCATACGAAAAAATCTACATATATTAACATATAAATAATCTACATTTAACATATATTAATCATGCATACGAAACATATAAAATGAAATTAACATGCAAAACTACAAATCATGCATATAATAAATCATACATATAACTTTTGAAGATTACAAAATGATATGAAACTAAAATTCGTGCATCTTATCATGCATTTGAGTATACAATCATGCATTTTTGGAATTTTAATCAAATATTGGAATTTTAATCGAATAAGATGAACAAACACATAACCTTGACTGAAGAAGGGCCGACGGAAGAAGGTGGACGAAGGCGGCCGGAGGACGACGGCGGACGGCTAGGCGGCGGACGGCGGCGGACGGCTAGGCGGCGACGGCGGACAGCTAGGCGGCTGACGGCGGACGGCTAGGCGGCGGCGGCACTGTCTAAACTGGAAGAGAGGGAAGAGAGAAGGAAGAGGAAGTTAGGGTTTGGGAGTTGGGTGCGTAGGTTTTTAAAAAAAACGCTAAGTGTTCGTTTTATATAAGGGTTTAGTCACGGTCATAGTCACGGTCAGGACCGTGACTAAACCCTTCGTAAATGCCGAAGTCAGTCCGCCGGTCAGAGTCGCCATTAATCAGAATAGTCACGGTCAGAACCGTGACTATGACCGTGACTATTTTCAAATTTTGAAAATAGTCACGGTCATAGTCACGGTTCTGACCGTGACTATTATTGTCAGCGCCACTCTGACCGGCGGACTGACTTCGACATTTACGAAGGGTTTAGTCACGGTCCTGACCGTGACTAAGACCGTGACAACTTGAAATTTTTTAGTATAAATAATCTTTCTCCGGCCCAAGACTGAACTGTAAAAAAAAATGGCTAATAGAGGTCCAATTGACTGGGATTCGATGTGTAGAGATATGAAACGACTTAAGCTGATTACAGAGCTTATGGAGCCGAAAACCGTGGAAGCATACGAGAGAATCAAGGAGTTGATGTCTAGACCCCTTGAAAGTTTTGGCGATTATAAAGATGAAGAATCCGACTCGTTGGGCAAGTCAAAAGCAAGAAATTTGTGTCGGATGCTTCAACGTGCACAAGAAGTTTCAGAGTATATGGACCCGATCAACGAAGAAGCTCGAATGAAAATTCAGGAGTTGTGGGCTAGGCCTCTTGAAAGTTTCCGATTGAGGAATGAATAATGTTAGTTAGGCTAATGTAATAAATAAATCTATGTTAGTTGTTTAATAAATAATATGTGACAATTTCATTGTGTGTTTTGTATTTATCTTTGAAATTTGATAAATAAATATCTGTTAGTTGTTTATTAATATCTAAATTTATTATAATATTCAGATTAGTAAAAGTAGATTACTGTTTTTTTAATTTTCGAATTTTGTTAATTTTCGAATAGACTTAGAATTATTAAAATTAATTTTCGAATTTCGAATTATTAAAAATTATTAAAATAAATTTTCGAATTTAGAAAAATCAAAAATAATATTTGAATTTTCGAATTTGAAAATAAAAGAATATAATATAGAGTAATTTCATATTTTGTATTGGGTAAATTTTAATTTTCAAACTTTGAATTGTGAAAAATTTTATTTTGAATTTATAATATGGATATAAAAAACTTGTTGTGGTTGAATTAATATGGAGTAATTTTTTGTTCATAAATAATAATGATAAAGATAGAAAAAAATTCAAATATTGTTGGAGTAATATAATGATGAAGAAATCTGCACAAATATTAGAAGTCAATAAAATTGAAATTACAACAGCACAATTATTCGCTATCAGAATCGTCATTTTCTACATATACAGTATCTTCTTCTGTATCTGAACCGTCTATCCATTCACCTTCTTCCTGATATTGAGCATTTTGTTGTGCTACATACATTTCCTCAATTTCGCGCTCAGATGGAATGGTTGGGTCCGGAAGGTGCGTTTCTGGCATGACTTCAACACGTCCGCCATTTGGATCACTTAATTGGAGGTTATAGTTGACCGTCTCAACAATAGGCGGAGGTTGGAAAAATTGTTGCTGAAAAGCATCTAGATCAACGTCCTTGTGTTGAGTTTGTGATTTTATTTTGTTCGGACGGACAGGACATGCACACACCCAAGGATTCTGTGTCCGCCTTGTTGAAGGATATTCTGCATAATAAATCTGCGCTGCTTGTTGGGCGAGTATGAAAGGCTCATTTTTTGGGTACACACGAGAGAGGTTGACGTCAATCATATTATACTTCGGATTTTTGCGCACGCCACGTGTGGGGTCGACCCATGTGCAACGGAACAGAACGCATGTCAATTTTTTCGCACAAGAAGGCATCTCAAGTTCCAGAATCTCCTGCAGGACACCAAAAAAACTGGTTTCCGAGTTATCATAACCGATGGTCGGGACACATAACCCGCTGTTCGTTGTTGGTCGGCCCTCTCCGTAATCGGCTGTGTGATATGTGTAACCGTTTATCACATATTGCCGCCACACTTTGGCACTGGCACCTGGGCCCCACGCTAATGATACTAACAAAGGGTCGACAATCCCACGACTATTGATCTGTAAATATAAACATAATAATAACATTAGGTAAACATTAGGTAATATATATAATTAATGTGTGTGTATATATACCTGATACTTGTACCAATTTACAAAATCAGAGTCCACCAACGCATCTATTTCATTCTCAGGAAAGGCTGATAAAGAAGCTCGGAATTCACTGTGAAGTATTTCAAATCTGTACATCCACCGATAGAAGACGGGCCCAGCAGTCAAAGCCTCATACGGAAGATGTATAATGAGATGTTCCATTGCATCGAAAAACGATGGTGGCATTATTTTTTCCAGATTACACATCAGAATGGGAACAGACTCTTGTAGTCTCCGGAGGGATGCCGCATCCAAAACGCTGGAACATATCGATTGAAACAACAAACTGATTTCAGTCATGCAGGACCATACGTGTTCAGGGAGCATCTCTTTTAGTGCAATTGGTAGAAGTCTTTGCATTATTACATGAGCATCGTGAGTTTTCATGCTCGTCGTCGTGGTAAGTTTGTTCATGTCTACGCATCTAGACAAGTTGGAGCAGTAGCCATCTGGAAACTTCTGAGACGCAAGCCATTTTAATATTGCTGCCTTTTGTGGTTCTGTGACCTGGTAGACTGCTTTTGGAACTTCCTTGCCCTGATATTCTAGATCAACAGAAAGTTCGGGTCTATCACACCAAATAGTCATATCTTTCCTAGCTGCAAGACCGTCTTTAGTTTTGCCTTTCAAATCCATCACCGTGTTAAATATATTGTCAAAGACGTTCTTCTCGGTGTGCATGACATCTAAATTGTGACGGATGAGAAGGTTTTTCCAATAAGGCAACTCCCAGAATATGCTCCTCTTTGTCCACTTATGGGTATCACAATACCCATATGGCTCTTGGTTTGGCTCTTCCATAGCCGTAGGGAAACGTCGAACCCGGTTATAAATTTCTTCACCGGTCAATCTCGGGGGTGGGCTCTCTCGAACCGCTCTGCCTCTAATGAAAGACTTCTTGTCCTTTCGATATCGGTGCCTTTCCGGGAGAAACTTGCGGTGACAATCAAAGTAACTTCCTTTTTTGCTGTAACTGAGCCAGTTGGCACCTGATTTCTCCATGCATATCGGACATCCCATCAGACCGTGTGTGCTCCATCCCGAAAGCATGCCATAGGCAGGGAAGTCGCTAATGGTCCAAATGATGGCAGCTTTCATGATAAACATTTTATCTGATGAAACATCATAAGTTGGTGTCCCAACGGCCCACAGTTCTTTCATCTCCTCGATAAGGGGTTGGAGATAAATGTCTATCTTTCGCCCAGGATCCTTGGAACCCGGACAAATTAAAGACAAAAAGATGAAATGACTTTTCATGCACATGTCGGGAGGGAGATTGTAAGGTGTTAACATGACCGGCCAACATGAATAGTTCTTGCCAAACCTGCCAAAAGGAGCAAATCCATCTGAGCACAATCCCAGTCGCACATTTCGTGGCTCCATAGCAAACTGAGGATGACAGCGGTCAAAGTGTCTCCAGGCTTCACAGTCCGAAGGGTGAGCCATCATACCCTCGTTGGTTTCGTGCTCAACATGCCATGTCATGTGTTTCGCAGTAGCAGTCGAAGCGTACATCCTTTGCAGTCGAGGAGCTATTGGGAGGTAATACAGTTTAGACAGTGCAGACCTATGTCGTGGTTTCTTTTTATTTTGACGAACAGGTTTGTATCTGTCTCCACCACAGAACTTGCAGAACTCAAGTGCCTCATCCTCCTTCCAGAACAACATACATCCTTCCGGGCACGCATCAATTTCAACACAAGGTAGCCCCAACTTAGACATTAACTGCTTCATGTGGTAATATGAATCGGGAAGGGTATGATCTCGCGGTAGCATCCCTCCTACTGACTGCAAGACTCTATTCATGCAAGTTTCAGGGAGACTGTATTCGGCTTTTATGTTCATGAACTCAGTAACAGCGGATAGCTGAGAGTATCCCTCACAATCAGCATACAGAGGTTGGTCGACAGCTTTTAGAACATCCTGAAATCTCTCAGCCAAACCTTCATCCACATAAGGTTGATAAAATGTCGGATTTTCATCCGCATCTGGTTGATACGAGGTTGAGGCTTCAGGGGGGTCGTTAGGTGGTTGTGGGGGGTTGAATTGAGACGGTACACCGTATGCGTCATATACCATTTGTTGGTCCCACCTCATTTCAGCACGGTCTCCCCACGCACTCATCTCTGGAGGGACGTAACGAGACGAACCTACCGTTTGTGGTATAACAGATGGATCCAAAGGTTCGCCGTGAGAAGTCCAATTATAATAATTGGGA